ACCTCGCGCCCCTATTAAATCTACCACAATAAAAGTTTGCCAGCGGGGGAATCGATCGTCAAGAATTCCCATTCGACCAGGACACCCGGCGCCGTGTATTTTACCCTGCCACGCATGCACTGCAGACAATACACAAGTACAAACAGTCAACCTGTCCCACACCCAACACTAACTGTACACCGACTCGGCTATCTTATATATACAAGAACCCCAAATACCGTCTATGGTGTGGTGGCGATTTTACGCATTATAATTAGTGGTACGCCGTAAAAAAACATGCCCCCCCCCCGGACCCTCCTAGTTTCCCCCTCTCCCCTCCCTCCCCTTCCCCTCCCCCTTCCCTCCCCTCCCCCTGTTTGAATTTCATCCTGGGGAAAACCCTGCGCCAGGATAGTAGATTCTTGTTTGCTTGATACCAGATTTCAATGCTTGGTATCCTAGCCGGGATAGTAAAAAACAATCGCCAAAATCGGGATGTGATGTGTTGTGATTGCTGGAGTGCGATCTGAGCGGCTCAGGCACCCTTACTATGCCACACTAGCGTTATACAGCAGGCATAGCATATTTGCATGCGCAAGCGTACAGCATGGCGATGTTGATCATAAATGTGATGCTGTATACAATATACATTGTATCAAGCAAACCAGACAATGCATCGAGACAATACGTCTGCAGTGTACTTGTCTGTGCACTATCTGTGAATCTGTTTTCATGTTTTTATATAATTAATTACAATTACATATCTAATAATTTTCAAATGCTATTATTGCATATTTCATAGATTTTGGATACCAATATTGTTGAAATTACTATCCAAAAAATAGGATATCAGATCTTTGGCGGGGGATACCAGATTTCAATACCTGGTATCCCGAATGAATACCATAATAAAAATATAATTTCGACCCCTGAACAGTCAACAATCCATGTTTAACCCTCCTCTTAGGGTCAACAGGTTATCAGACACTTACTCTTCACACTAGCGCGAAAGTATATTTCATCGGTCCTTTCAATAAAGTGATAAAAACGGTAGGTCACCGCTGAAACAAAAAAGTTTGCACTCGGTCCGTTAGACCATGTCCTCAGAAAATGTCTGATATCTGACCTTTCCCCCACTGCCCTTCTGACCTGTGACCTCCAATTTCGCACTGGTGATGGTTTCCTCCCCATCACACTATACACTGAATATTAAGAGCGTAGTCAAGCCGTTGAGATTTGTGCCGCAATTCCGTATTTCCTCCTATAACCTTAAGTTAAGGGGAAAATATTCCCCTCCATTGACACATCTCGACCTTTGACCCTTGACCCCAAAATTCGACATCCCAATGTCCTTTTTGCGATCCCCCGGCGTCCCGAATATCAAGAACGTACGTCGAGCGCGTTAAGATTTGTGCCCAACTGTTGACGCGACGCACGGACGCATGACGGACGGACGGACAATCATGCGCATTCTACAAAGCTGCATCTGACTTCGTCAGCTGAGCCTAAAAATCTAGCATGATTATAATATACACACTTTAGAAAC